GTTGGTGGACGAGGAGGAGGAGGGGTAAAGTTGGAGGGCGTTTGGTAAGTGTCAGTATCCTCCAGCGGTCGAGAAAAGACCGAGCTCGATATAGGCGAGGCTACTCGTCGGGAGAGTACAATTGAGGCCCAAGGACTCGGGTCGGTAATGGTTGAGGTGAGGTTGAGAGATATGGGGTACAAGTGGGACATGGAAGGGGGCACTTTGCCCATGAAGTTCACCAGGCCCGGTGTGGGATGAGCCTCAATGTGGGGTATAGGTAAAGCTGTTGCTCACCGAGCTCACCGAGGGTAATTCCTATTGGTACGAAAATGAAGTGTCAGAAAGAGTAAACTTTGTTATTGACGGCAAGAATGCCATAAAGTGAAAATTATCTGGCCATATAGAAAAAACTGAGAGTAGATCATGATTAACAACTGAGGCAACATTGAGGTAACTCTAGGCCACTTAGAATAAGAATAACCTTGGACAATTGCGGGCATGAGAAGCAGATGGGCTGGAGACTTGCAATTAGAGAGCCATTGACATCAAGGCCGGGGTATGAACGAGATACGAAGTATTTAAACCGGTGAATATGAGACCCTCCGTTTAGTTCATGAGTGATGCACCAGGATAAGAGCATGGGCGCCTTCACCGGGGATGAAAAAAAATACACATCAGCAACTTGACAAGTACGAATGATAAAGTCAATCAATTTATCGAAGCTAAGTTATCCCCTTCCGTAGCAAAGCCTGTCACAGGCGTAGTAGAACTTCCTAGCCCTTCGTATAATGAAATATTAAAAACTGTGTGATCAGGAAATGAAGTGACTATAGTGTACACCAGATCAAGTCCGAGACTGTGCCAGCCGAGTGCCGTGCAACCTGCTGCAAACGCTACACACGATGGCTATAGCTAGTTCTCGTGTATCTTGCTGTTGGTGAACTTGGTATTTGGTGGATGACCGTCGACCTTAAATCTGCAATGCGACCGAGTGCACACACCATTCGTTACATTTGGGCACTACAGTGGCCAAGTCAGCAAGCAATTAGTAACAAAGGTTTTCGAAGTTGAAAGAACTTACGTTGTGTCCATATATGCAGTCGTCGACATCACAATCTTGTCCGTTGATGCAGGGATTCTGCCGGGCGAGCATTGCGAGTGCCTTTAACTGCTCTTTTGTCGGCTTGAACGTATGGTTGAAAGTACAAGCACCTATTCTGGTACAGGGACCACGGAGAAAGTGGTTGTTGCAAAGTTTGTCGGAGTCCTCACGACGCTTTATGTCTTCCATGGCTGGAATGCCAACTGTGATGGGAGGATCACGGCCCCGAGGTCCAGGGCTCCAAGCTGGCTGAGGAGGTGCCTTACTCGCAAGCTTGGTCTTGTCCTGTTTGGGAGGTAGAGGCATGGTAAGCTTGGGAGGAGGAGTAGCGCTTTTCGTGACCTTGGCCCAGGAAGTTTGTGGAGGCGACATGGACGAAGTACTCGTGGCGGGTGTCAGTACTGCTTGTGTCGTTGCAGCGCGAGCTACCGGCGAACCCTGGGGCTTAATCGCCTCGGTAAGCTGGACACTCGGTTTCTCTATCAAAGTCTTATCAACGAGTTTGGTCGTGCGAAATATGTTGCCGTCAAGCGCGTGAACAATGTTGCCGCAGGCCTCGATTTCGCGTACGATAGGTTCTCCTAGAATCACGGAGACACACATTCTGCCATCACCGGCCTCGTTGACTCTGCGCAGAAAAGGAGCATATTGGACACCATGGCCGATGCCCAACATGACGTGTCTACAGTTATAGCAACCCAAATGCCATGTTGCCATTTCTATGCACGTCAGTCAAATGAATTTCTGGCCATTTCACCAGGCGTTGGACGCACCTTGGATCTTGCGAACCAGTGTTCCTTTACTCAAGCCAATATCAATAAAGTTGAAAGAAGACTTGGACTCTGTAAAGCCGATAGCAAATTCATGAAAAAGACTTGGGTCGTCAATGCTGCCATCATTCACCAGGGCCCGGCCCATCTCGGCAATGTTGACCAGAACGTCGCAGAAAATTTCGAACGAAGTTGGCAGGCTAGGACAAAGCCTCGCTACCGAGAGAAGTAGAGCATGCGCCGCCTGCTTACCACCTTCGCGGCCTTGCTTAATAAATCGATTGTCGAACTGCATGATAATTAGTGAGGACTTCTTTCACGACAGACAGCCTCTTGAGAGGGCGAGCTGGATGAGATTAGACAAGACGAGATCGAACGTACAATAAGGCCATTGCCGTCCATGATTATAAAGACATAGTTATTAGCACCCTGGACATATTAGCTTCTGCGCTCTGCGCGCCGGTGAGTGACATGTATGTACCCTGATGTTACTGAGGTCCACAGTGAGCGTTTCGCATTGCAGTCGAGTGCCTTCATAGAGTTTGCGGAGCTGGCTCATATGATTCAAACCCAAGTTAGCGTCGGCAAGCTTTTCTTGGAGGACATGATTTGTTTCTTGCAGCGCATGCAATCTTTCTACAAGGTCCTGTCATGAGAGTCAGAAATGATCGGACAATAGGTATAAAGTTACAAGGAGGATACTGCAGAAAGCACAGGGGGGCGGATTTCAGACCTTGATATATTTCTGCTCAGGCATTTCTCGGGCCTGGAGAGCATTAAACCGACTGACCAAGTCATTCATTTGAGTATTGTTTGCCATTCTGGAGGTCTCTTGTGGCGCGAAGACAGGAGTTGGTGAAAGGCGCGTGTCAGAGTTCTCGATTATGAGAGAGTTGGATAATAAATGGGAGAAGAAAGAAAAAAAGATCAGCTGTTGGCCCTGTAATTGCACGCAGCCAGCCAACAACATGCACACCCTAAGAAGTAAGGCAAAAGGTAGTAGATACCTTGGGTAGGTACCCTTTCTCCGTCGGCGCAAGGGGATTGGGTTTGTATGTATGGGGGTGGGAGAAAGGAAAGTGCAGTGCAGTGCAGCGCAGTGCGAGTATAAAAGTAAGGTAAAGAAGGTATGGAAGGTAAGGTAAGGTAAGGTAAGGCGAGGCAGGGGAAGGCAACGGCAGGTAAAGTAGTGTGCACGTTTGGGGGAGATGAGACAAGGAAAGAAGAGTCAGTGAGTTCAGTTGCCGAGAAAAGCAAGCAAGCAATCAAACCGAGCTGAGCTGAGCTCTTGATTCGGCTTCGTTATTGGCAACTGGAGATTCCTTTGGTCGATCGAGTCGAATCAAAGACGGAAAATTGTTAGTGAAAAGAAGATGATGATGTTGATGTTGATCTTATATCAACGGAATGCGATCGAGTTAGATTTGATGTGCGACTTTTCGCAAAAACTTTTTTTTTTTTGAAACGTCGTGTTCCTTGCGACCTTGCCTCGATAAAAGCCGAAGTTGGGTTGGCTAAAATGTGGTGACAGAAAAGATGAGCACAGCCTTATTTATAACCCTGACCTAATCATCTTTCAAAAGGACGTATCATGGAAACGGAATTAAGTCCTATGATAAAAGTCAAATTTGCAGATTTTCTGAATGCAAAAATCTCAAAACTGCACATGACTGAAGGGACGCCGCTGGGAACTGTAATTCAAGAATCTGCGATATCTCATATTACCTCTAGGTACTAAAATTGACGATTTATTATAGCACACTTGGCTCCTTCCCGTCAGCGATCACAGTTAAGCAGACCTGAGACAGGGATCATCAGCCCACGGCCTTGCCCATGCAAGCTGCAGGTGCAGACCCACAGTGGAGACGCGCGCCAAAGGTGAAAGATCGAACCCCGGGTCAACCTGATTGGGTTAAACGCCACGCCTGAGCACCTATTGATAGAAGGACGACACAAACCAAAGGACTACAAAGGTACTTCCATCTCGCCAGGCGTGAGTATATGATTGGGTGCGAAATACTGGACTCAGGAGGCCAATACTAATTCAATATCCTGGTTTCTCGTTTCTCTCTCCTGAAATCTGTTTGTATTTCGGCATACCAATCAATTAACTGCGTATGTATGGTCATGCAAGTGTGCGGCTTTTTATGTCGATTCGCCTTACATATAGCCAAACTCCACTCTGCCGTTTGATCTGGAAAACGCCTTGTCATCTCATTGATAGACAAAAAACACGGGACCTCAAAGACATACAGTACACTTTGCTCGACATGTATTATATTCTATGATTTTCTAACCAATCTTTCCATGAACCACAAATATCATAGGCTATCCTGGTCTCATATTCGCACGGAACTTGTATAATCTTCAATTACACAAAGACGTGCGCATAACGCCTCCAACCTAAACCCGTGGGTTTTATGCACATACGGCGACTAATACATCCAGCCACAAGTAAATCAAGCACAAGACTTGACTATTCGCCACCACCACAGAAGACAGATAATGACTGCGTTGGTTTTCGGGGTACAGTAGGTGACACAGCAGACCAACATCGGCTCTTGAGGCCCCCAACTTCAGTTCCCGTCTATCTGACAGCCTATCCGCGGGGCTCTAGCCCTCAGCCTGATCATGTAGACGCCCGTGCAAGCGACATGCTCCGCGTGTCAAAGATATTACCTGTCCAATCAAGAGCCGCCCCTATTGCCGTACGCGTGCAACTGCATTGACTAGAACGCCTTGCCACTATGGACTGCCATGGCGAGCCCTGAGGCACACTGTCTCATTCAAGCATTTGCCCGTTTAAAGCTGTATCACAATGACTGTAGCGTTAGACTTCAAGCGACGATTCGTATAAATGGAGAATATAGTCTACCTTATTTAGGCACTGTGAGATACGACAGCTTGTCTGCCTTGAAGCATTCATTCATAACAAATACAACCTAGGCAGCATATTTGCTGTCAAGTATTTTAGTTTGATTCATTCATGTTTCCACTGGCTCCTCCTCAAGTGCTGAAAATGTGAAATCTGAACTCAGGCTGTGAGTCAATCCTAACCAATAAAAGAGAGTCAAGGAGAGCATACACGCTCACTGTTTGCACGGTGAGTCTACCACAAGATTCGACCATCTGGCAATTTCAAGATCCTAGATGATGTCGGGAATGCTCCCGTCCGTGGCAGCAGGGAACTGGTTCAGCATTTGCCAAACTGTATCATCTCCCCATCCGCCTCCAAATTGCCACATGGAATAATTGCCAATATCTCCTTGGCCATCTTGCAAGGGTAGAGGAAGCATAGTCATGCCGGGGCCCGCCGTAAGGTCATTGTAAACAAGATCTCCAGTCGGAAAGAAAGGGGCCATCGCATTCAGGTTGTCCGCTGAAGGTGCTATCCATGCCGAGTCCAGCCCCGAAAACTCACTGCCACCTAGAGATGAGCTACTTGGTGTTGTCGAGTCTGCATTTGCTTTGATTGACCCCTCTGAAGAGCTGGTAACTAGAGATGGCAAGGAGCCAGCCTGGGCTTTGTTCATCGCTCTCTTGAACCGAGCAACAATAGCTCTTAGCACGCCCTGAGCCGACTTGGCCAACGGGTTGCGCTCTTGAATGGCCGAAAACCGTTCGATCGTCCATTGAAAGTGCTCTATCGTCTTGCCGGTGTACTCCGTGTGCTCGCGTGGAAACAAGATATACACGGATGCTAGGAGTACAATCGCATCGAAACTAGCGAAGAATAACATGAAGTTCCTCCACGAGTCTGGGGGTAAACCTTCAAATGTCATTTTCTGAATTTCGAGGGTTTTCAGGCTCGCATGAATAGCCTCCACTCGACTCTCGAGGCGATTGAAGATAAAAGGCCTGTGAAGAGCCATCTTACTGAATTCATGAAGGCTCGCAAAGTAGAATCGATTTGCTGGATACCAGTGTGCCTCTGGCAAGTGGTCCCACCGCGTATCGGGGTTCTCCATACGAAAGGAAGCCGGTATCTTCTTGTCGAGATTCAAAATACTTTGGTGAATCTCGTCAATCTTTGCAGGGTCCATGGGGTATGAACCGCTGACTTCAAGGTTCTGAATTGCCCGCAAAGGCCCACAGAGTTCGTAGTTCCACAAGAGCCGAGTGACCGGTGTAGGATGATCATCTTCACTTCGAGGAACCACTGGCATCTTGGTGCGATCTTGAGGTATAGGCGCATCGACTGGAGGTGTAGGAAGAGTCTGATTCCAGTCGACGGTTCCTGGACGTCCAAGGATCATCGCGCAGTTGAGGTCCCAGATGGCGAGCAGGATGTAGATCCGTCTCCTCCGCTGAATCAGCCATTGATTCTCGAGAATGCTCTCGACGCTTGCATCCTTTGGTTTTGGATCTAAGCTGTCACGATGCATTCCCAGGTCCTGAGCATCGCGAATGGCAATTGCGATGGTGTGCCACTGCCCAACATCAGTCGATGCTTCTCTCGGTATCATCTCCTAACAGGAACTTACTGCATCTGTAACTTTTGCTGTAAACTTGTGGAATGACGCTCTGAGAAATTGTGCTTGCACTGTAGATAGAGACAAGTTCTTCTTCCCCAAAAGGTCAAGAACTGCCTGCCCTGACTCGCTATACTCGACAGCCAAATCTTCGAATCTCATACCTCCAGCAAATTTGAGCGAGTCGAAGGTGGAATCTGGCTTCTCAGGCAATAGGAGAAGGGCCGTTGCTATGATTTGGAATACGACTGCTGGAAAGGCTCGCAGTTCAGGGCTCAGGCCACGGGGACCGACATCTGAGAATACCGAGAACGGCAACGAATTCCATTCGTCGAGCTGCGCATAAAAGATGTCAGGGTCTATCGGATAGTACTGCCAGTTGAAGCCGCGCATGTACATCTCGACGAGTTTTTCGATGTAATTCCGGGCGGGTAATTGTCGAATTATAGCCTTGTACTTTTCCTTGAGGGCAAGCTCTTTGCCGGGAGAGCCTCCAGAAGAATCGCGAGATGTTAGATCCAGGGGCCCATCTTCACCATTTGTGAGCGTCTCGATGCGTTTGAGTATACCCATAGTAGACGCGCCATTATGAGCGTACCCCCAGTCAGCTACCTTGGACGACAGAGGCTCATCTGGCCTCTCATTCGATGAGCCAACAGACAGTGGTGGTGATGGCTCGGCTTGTTTAGCGAATGTATCCGAGTAAGTCGGCGATGCTTTTGATGTCTGCTTGCTCTGCTTGGCTGTTGGGGCTCCTGTTTCATAAACACAAGCTGACTCTTTATTTCGAGACTTGCAATTGCTGCATGGTTGTTCGCGGTCGCACTAGAGATGTTTTCAGTCCGATTGTTTCTTATGAGAGAAATGTATCGTAATCTATAGTTACGGACCCTCTGCTTTCTTCGATGGCATTCAGTGCACGATATGACAATTCGTCTTCTCTTCCTCAGACGCGGACCATCAGCATCCTCAGTTGCTGCTGTCATGTCGGCTTCCTCGGAAACCGGTATGAATGGCTGTTCCCTTGGGAATACTAATTAGGAGAGAATATCCATGTAACGTTGTGGTAAAGTAGTATGAGATATAGATCCTCGTAGACTAGAAGTCAAGTCAAGATTAAGGTGGAGTATGGGAAGGTCTATGTTGATCTCGGCGGACGAGGATCAGCTTTCAAAGTCCTCTAACTCCGGCTTCCAAGAAAACAGCGTCACTTTGATTGTGGGGCATCCATTACAAGAATGGAATTCAGCCCTGTGCATCTTTGAATGGACCCACGTTATTGAAGGAAGAAATGGATATATACAGTTGGAGTGAATTAGCTACAACCATGGACATGAGAGGTGCATCGAAAGCACACGCAAGGAATCAAATTATCCCGTCGTTGCAATTCATATTTCGTATCTTTTCCGACAATCATTCTCGTAATGTTTTGTTGAACCTGGTATCATTGATGCAGGCTAGGCAGGTAGAGAGGAACAGGGCTTATGCAGTTGGAGGAGGCCTAGTGCTTAGATGATATTCCCAATCAGGGAACCAAGTCTCATTTCTCTTGTAAGTGAGTTACTCCATAGATACTCCATGCAGTCATGATATTCACGTCAGACCCGCTAGATATCTCAATAACTCCATTGCAGCCTGTCTACCGCGCGAAGAACCTCAAGGCCGTCCCGACTTCCAGTCGTTTTCGCTACTTAACGAACCCGCTCCGTGTAAGCCTTCCATGCCGCGGACCGATATCGCTCAGCTTCATCCTCGGGGTCGCTTGCCTTGATGATCCCGCGTCCAACAATAGCAATGTCCGCACCGGCAATACCAATGATCTTTTGTGGCGTGTTGTACTGTTGACCCTTGCCATCACCCTTGATGGCTTCATTCTCGTCCGCACCCTCAGGGGGCAATTGGCAGCCGGGGGTCATGTGGATGAAGTCATCCTCGGGTTCTGTGTTGAGGCACTCCTGTGAGACAAAGCCCATGACGAAGTTCTTGTGTTCCCGTGCGGCCTCTACACATGCTTGCGTATATTCCTTGTTCATGAAGTTGCCCTGACTCGACATCTGTGCCAGGATAAGCAGGCCCCTCTCGATCGGCGCTTCATCGATGCCGGGGAATACTGTCTCATCGCCCTCAGGAATCGTCTTGACGAGACGTGGTGAATCGGCCGACTCGTACTGTTGGGTGACGGTGGTGGTGGAAACAATGCTACCTTTTCGACCGCTGTCTGCGCGAGCAGGTTCCGGCGTGTCCTTCTGATTCTCGTTGTCTGAACGCTCGCTATCCTCGTCCAGTTGACTGGCGGTGGGAGTTCCAATACTGATAGATGTCTTGACCTCGTAGTGGTATCGCTCGAGCCATCGGTTGGCAGCGTGGGCCAGAGATGCAACCGAGGCCTTGCCTGGAACCATGTTTACGTTGGTAATATGTGCCCACTCGATGATGCGCGCAGCACCACTAGTATACTGTAACTCGACCGTATTGCCAATATCACCAAACTTGCGATCCTCAAAGATGAGGAAACCATGCTTGCGTGCTAGTGAGGCGAGCCTGGCACCAGTGCCTGTCCTAGGGTCAAAGTCCCAGCCGGCAACCATGTCATAATGAGTCTTGAGAACGACGATGGAGGGACCAATCTTGTCGGCGAAGTAGAGCAGTTCGCGAGCGGTTGCGACATCGGCGCTGAGGCAAAGATTCGAGGCCTTGAGGTCCATGAGCTTGTAGAGATGTCGACTGAGAGGATGGGTAGCTGTCTCAGCTCGACTGGCGAAAGTCGCCTTGAGAGTAGGATGCGGCGACATGATACGGTAAAGCTTGTTCGAAGATCAATTTGATGTGAACAAAAGTAAGTATCGAAAAAGACGGTGACGACCCGAACTGGGGAGCGAGTTCAAGTACACTAACTAAATCGTATGTGGATCTATAGTCGCAAGTTTTGGGCAACCTCGAGGCTAGGCCAATTCACACAAAGATGTTCACAACGATCTAGTCTACCTGGCGCAGGTGGCGGTTTGGCTTGATAGAGGGGAAGCTGGGGAAAACTGAGAAAAAACGGACACAAGAGCCACAGATAGGAACGAGGGGTGAAGATCTTATTAGCTTCGGCCGAATGGGTCTCGACTGAAAGTGTTGTCCGATGTGAGGCGTAAATGGGTGGAATGTCGATCGGGAGTGAGAGGAGAATTATGAGGAGAGAAGAGGAGAGGAAAGAGAGCGAGTCAAGAGAAAGGAGGAGGAGGAGGTTTGAGGTAAAGGACCTTTCGCAGAATGACACGGGATGGGATGGGGTTAGTTAAAGAAGAGACTGTAGGTGAGAGGTGAAAGGTGAAAGGTAAAAAGTGAAAAGTGACGATCCACAGCTCGACTTAAACAAAAAGTGACCCAACCAACTAAAAGGCACTGAAGGTGAGGCGAGAGGGTCACTACCACCTAAGTGCTAGTGCTAGGGTACCTTAGCTTAGCTCCAACATGAAGCGAAAGGGCGCCTTGAACCTCGAGATTCATAACAAGCTAACACCTTTAAGGCCCGAGGCTCAAACGCAGCCAGAAAGTAAGTGCTGTACGTAGGCATTCGGAGGTTGAAGGTACAGGCGTGGCGTCAAGCAGGGATCAACAAGAGTGTCTCTTTTTTACTGTAACAAGCGGCAAATGCAACATGTACGTACGCACTAGGTAGAGGCACCACTGTGGCATGTATGTACTCAGACAGGAACAGGGGCAAGGATGTTTGACAGCAATTCAAAGAAAATGGCTAGAATGGCCCTGATATGGACGATCCAAAGCTTGAAACTCAAACTTTATCCCTGGCAGTTCTCTTTTAGCCGGAGCGGACAAGGCCAAGCCCAAGGCCAGCCACCCATCCATCCATCCATCTTTGCAGTGGGAAGACTCTGTAAGGAAGAATCAGCCAATTGAAATGGCAAGCAAATAAATCCTTCTTTGGGGAATTGATCGGAAGTAATCCGATATGTATAACTACATGTCTACACCTTGTCTACAAGTCCTCTATTCGCCATTGCCCAGTGAAACAATCCTCAACTGACAACATACATACTCTCCCTCCTCATCCTGACCATATCACCACCATCGATGGAAATAAATTCTTCCCAACCCTAGGACCCATGCCCCCATACCGTCAGTGACGTGTATCGTGGGGGGCACTAAGACGGACAAGTCGAGAAGCCAATTCAAGACAAGACAAGCTTGGTGGATGAACAAAGACACGAAACCCCAAAAATCGTCTGATTTTAGAGGAATTGAACAAGCATGCATACACCTGCTGTCGAGACCAGACCCAACGTTGGCTATCCGGATAGGGTTTGGCCTACACTGCACTTTGCGGATCAGGGATCAGAAACTAGAGAAATAGGGCGAGATGATCCCAACCAATCCTGGCTTAATGATCTGTTCAAGACAGCCCCAAGAGGCGGGAGGCTTTTGGTGGATTGATGCTTTTAATCATGGGGGCGGTTATCAAATGGTTCATGGTTTTCATGACAATACTGACCTGACTGTAGGTGACATATCAATATAGCCCATCACCAAGCTCAATAGAGGCATCATCTCCCAGGTCTGAGGCGGTTAGCATACGATCATCACTCCGATTTTCCAAAACCTCCCACGTTAATCTGGCTGGGTTACACGACATCCAAAGTATTGCCGCAAACACCCGTTTCAGCGGTCCTTCAAGCCGTAACCAGCGAGGGATTAAAGGGTGACTTGACAACTAACCTAACTCACGGAGTACAACGTCGAGATCCACAGAACCCCAGGTACATGACTTTGCATCAACCTGACCGTCTCCAGATGCGCGTTGCCTGCCTGTCTGGTACATGCTGTTAGTAACCCATGACGCTAAGACGGCTTATCGAAACGACGAGACGGGAAAACGGGACGATACCGAGAGCCCATATCCTTGGGCGTGGTTCCTGGCGTACCTCAACTGAGCACCTGGATTGAACCCGACTGGCACGAATACATACCCTGGCAATAGCTTGCCTGTGGATAAGACTGCGGTACGCACCGAGACTCGCTGCTCAAGTATCTGTCACTTGTGATGAGACGCAACGACGGAACGGAGCAACCGGCAGTGAGATGAGCTAGCTGCAGTAGCGGCTTCACTTGACATGGGGTTTTTGGTTTTCACTGCTGCAAGGCACCGCCGTTTTACCACCAGCGACTAGTTATCAGCTCTCTACAGTAGCTCAAGGATGGAGGCTTATTCCAGGCTAAGAGCTCCGTCTAAGTTAATCTCTCCCCTTCTCACCTTGGCAGCCCAGCTAGCCACGACAAATCGCCTCCCCCAGACCATCAAAGTCTCAAGCTCGGGCTCTTCAACATGACCGTCCCAAGATCGTCACCAGGGTCAGGATCCGCCGTCCCCAGACTTGCCTTTCTTAGCCTCCGGCCCGCGAGTGACAACCAAAACTCCAGGGGACAACTGTGCCTCCCACTTGAACCCTAGCAAACTTAACCTTATAGCATACCTCAGTCCTCAACGCAAGCGCTTAACAAGCTCCTCAGGCAAAACAAGGGTCCCATCTGCGTGCCGCACTACTGTACGGTACTGTCTGGTGTCTCGGCTATGCCGTAAGTCCCTCCACTCTCCGGGACTCCCGAATATCTATCAGTTGGGAAAACCTAATGCGACAGACGGAGGGACTGTTCTGGAAATTGCTCTTTGACATAATTGCCGCTTTCTGCTAAGCTACGCCTGTCGCTAGCTCCCTTGAGTCTATTTAGAATTTTCAGACCTCTGGCGTGTCTGCAGCTCGTAAAACCACCAACCGACTGATATTCGCTGTTTCTCATACCAGTGAGCAAGCGACAATCGACAACTCGGGGACACTTCAGTTGCCGGTTGCCGCCTGAGTCAACGTGCAGTTTGAAAGTCCCGCAAACTAATGATTTTTAGTTGACCGCCACAGTCAGACTGATTCAATGGCTTACAGAATCAAGCGATTCAATACTGCTTGGCGCGCGACTACCACAGTTCTAGCCAAGCTACCAAGAAATATATACAGACGGGACGGGAAGTGGGAGTCGTTCCGAAGCGAGGCGCGTTGGTGCTTGAAGTTAGAGACCCTTAGATATGAGATATCACAAAAGTCTTTGCTTTGGAGTTTGGGAACGAGTGGGTGATTTGGACTGAGACATCAGTTTCTCATTGAGTTGCCATTGTGCATATTGGTGTGAATGGTGGCCAAGGTCAGGGTCCTAGGGATACTTGGTCGCTCATATATCATGACTGCTCAACCAACCACTGACAACAACACGTAGTCCCAGTCGAACTCTATTGAATCGAGGCTGTCGACCCAGCTGAATCAACAGTTCCACCGGTAGGGTTACAGTCTCAAGTCCGCGTAGTGTTTGAGTGTTTCTACAAAGCGGAAGGTCTTGGGCTTGCGGGTTTAAGGCCACGGTTTTACTCATCGACCTATAGTGCCATGTGTTGACTCGCATTCATTGATAAGGTTGCGGGGTCTGTACGACAATGTCTGCGACTAAATGGATTCTTTAATAGCCTAATCCGCTCACTGCGCGTCTCTCTCGACCTCAATGGCAATTGCTGTGGCTTCAGGTGTCATGATAATCGGGTTCACGGTCATCAAGAACCAACCGTCATTACACGTAAGGAGCTAAAGGCAGATCACCAAAGCTTGCATTTGTGTTGGAACTTGAGGGCTCTTTAACCTCAATTTTATCTATACAAAAACAACCTCGACCGCGAAAATTCATAGGGGCTGTGACCTGAACATTTTGCCGCTAATGCTTCTAATCTATGTTAGAGAGTATCCGTAACTAATCAGCTAATCACAACTCTATCTGTTCTGGTATTATTACCAGTGCGATGTCTTGCTACGCATGTTAGCCGGATATAACGCTCTGGAATTGATGCCTTGATCAGACAAGTCGTGACATGACATGGTAAAAACATATGTTGTCTCGACAAGCCGAGGCCGAGTTCACAATCAATGCGACTGGAAACCTTGGATCTCGAGACTTTCATGAGCAAATCATACGTCTTAATAGTGAGATGATGAGTTGTTCAATTGGCAAATATCCAAGAAATCGACCTTGAAAGTGGAGTAGGCGCCCTCTTTCTAAGCTGACAATTTGCCATGAGCGGATATCAATTTCAGGGGATCAATCTGCGGCTGGTGCTAATTTGGAGCTCTCGGCCAGTGGAAAACGGGCAAATCAACACCCCGAGCCGCTGAATATACACGCAGCCAAGTTCTAAACATGTCCGAGACTACCGAAAAACCACCCCCTGTTGTTCGCTTGGCGGGAGCATCTCATGGAAAGGGAGCCTCTAACCTAAGCTTACCTTACCTTCCGCCGTTCGTCATCACCTCCGCTCGACTCGACTTTTTGGAGCTTCCTCTTAAGATTCTATTTTCTTCCTTCACATCCACTCCTTCTGACACCTTCAACGAGTCTCTTTTGTTAACCTCTCGCGGAACGCGACAGCTCTACGTACCTACAAGTTCTCTTTAGCCTCTTCGATAGCTTCAACAGCGCCAAGTAATCCCTGCCCCTTTCGCAGAATCTGTCCGTTATCTCGATCCAAACTCCGCCGCCGCTGCATGATAAGCCACACCAACACCACCTTGATAATCACGACAACTCGAAGCTTCACCTTTCACGTACAATAATACGAAACCAATTAACACCATGAGCCCGCAAACTCGACGACAGGCCGCAAAGGCCCAAACCCCTTCTGATTCGGAGCCTGAAGCTAGATCCAACGGCAACGGGTCTGCCAACGGCGTCGCGGATGCTTCGGACGATGCCCCTC